TTCTTTGAAATAAAATTTTTCTTTGTATCAAAGGCTTTTGCTTGAGGAAGCCTATTTTGATCCAGCCATCTCAGGCTCTCATCCTCCTCAAAAGGTCACTCAGCGTCTATTTGAATTCTTCCTTAAATTTACCTTTCAAAGCTAAAACATAAAAAAAAATGTTTCTGATGATATAAGTTCCTATTTATGCTGATCAAAAAGATTCATGCTGATGATGATAATTAAAAAAAATAAATATAATTGGAAATAATTATGCATGTAAATATCCAATACATTATTTTAACAAAACGAGAATTTCACATTATTTTAAAATTGATTTATTTCTTGAAAATGTCAAATATGAAGAACATATCAAGAGAAAAACTGTAATTTTATTTATTAGATTTGTCCAATTTCGTTGCCCAAACATTGACCATAAGGCAGAAAAATATAATTATTAATATTTAAATAAATATATATATTTTTTGTCATTTTACAAATAAAAAATATTGTCATATTTTAAAAAAATAATTTTGTTGATTTTCGAAACGTAAATACCTTATTAACAGTCAAAAGTCAGCTATTATGGTAGAATTGTATATTGACTTATTGATCAGGGAGGCTGGTTTGTTCTGCGTAATTAAGCTGCGAGTTCTGCTGATTGATTGCTTAAAGTTTTTAAAAGAGATGTGAAAGGTCAGAATGAAACACATCAGCCTCCGTTTAAGAAGCTCAACTTGAATGTTGTCCTTCTCCATGAGCCAATAGAGGTAATTAGGTGTTTACTTATTAAAAGGCAGGATCTCTTTTGAAAAGTAAGACAACAAGGACAACCAGGAAAGTTGAACTGTTTTAAATGGATCTTTTTCCTCATATTTCTCTGAAATAAATTGTTTGGTGTAAGAAGAAACTTTCTGTTTGTCTTGGCAAAGTAATATTTTGTTTAAAATGTATTTTTTTAAACAAAAATTTCAAAAACTATTTAAAAAATAATATAAAGCATATTTTTTTATTTTTCAAAAGTAGTTGTATTACTTTGGAAAAAATATATGGAGTGGAAATAGTAAAAAAACCTAATAGAAATTAGCTAAATATATTTTATGAATGGCAAAGTTTCAATTTATATTTAATAATTTAATACTTTTTGCCTTTTTTTTTAAGGTAAAATTATTAAATAGAAGTAGTTTATGTTTCCAAAACTGCATAACAGAAATCTAGTAGATTTATCTCATTTACTTCTTTACCTTCTACGCAACGAATTGCCGAAATTCATACAGTTTTTTTTTAAAAAATCGAGACTTTAAGAGGCCGCTTTGTGAATGGTGGGGTTTTTGTGTTATACAAAATGGTGGCACTACAGATGTGAGTGCAAATTCAGTGCTGAACCCCAAAATGGCTCCCAGTTCAGCAACCAATCGTGTGCCGAGTCGTACTCTCGCTGCCGCCAATCAGCTGTTTGGTAACTGACTTACGGCGGCGTTTGGCCGGGAGGCCGAGTGTAAGCTGATAGGCTACTTGAGATCCCACCTGAAGAACCCATTGGCCGCAGAGCACAGACATGTTTGAGTAGAGTTACTAGGCTGAACAGCAGAGTTGGTGCAGCGTTCATGCCCCCACCCTACAGTGTCATGAAAAGATAGCGCAGGGTGGTGGTGTTACCGTGAGGTACTGGGGGGCAGGACAATGTGCTACGACATGGCATCAATGTTTGCGTTGTGTGTCACCCTCAAGAACTGCACTGTAGCACATAATACCCCTATGAGGGTGCTTGCTCACTTGGAATCGTACTACTATTTCATCCATCCGGTGTGACTGAGTCTTGCAGAGCTTTACAGTTTTTAAAGAGAGTATTGAGATGTTTCAACGCTGCCTTGCTTCCATTGAGCGTGGCTTCCCTTCTCCACACTTCCGTGTACCCATCTCCAGAAATAGGGATGCCGTGTGCAGTTTCATGGTCCGCGGTGGCGACGAGTTGTTCTGGGTGTGCTCTGCTAATGCACCCCCATGAAGCCATAATTAGCTTTTCCATCACGCTTTCAGGTGTGTGTGTGCGCTGCTCCAAGGGAGGTGCCCATTGTCTGTTGACAAGGGGAGTTCTCCATCTCTCCCGCTTACTTTCCCTTTTCTTGGGGTAAACTTGTGGTATGAGGTGTGGCTGATTAGAGGTGAGAGCCATAGCGCTGCCTGGAAATCCTCTAATGCAGACTCTGAACTACCGTGCTTTCATTATTCAGAGTCCATGTCCACAAAGTAATCAGAAATCTGGCGAACTGACAGTGGCAAGTGGAAAGTAGAGAGAGGGAGAGAGAGACTGATGAAAGACAAGGCAGCCTTTTGTGTTTTTGTGCGGATGTCTATGGCTTACATGAACCATGTAGCCGTGCAACCAATCAGAGAACAGGCGATGTACTGTCAAAAACAGCAGCACTCATTATTCTCTGCCTCAATTAGTATTCAGCATGTTTAATAACCAGGTCATTTTCTTTTAGGTCAGTCATTCCTTGATGCAATAACTCTGGAAAAGAGGCGTTTTTTTTGCTTTTTTCTTTCCCCCCTGTTCGAAGCACGTATCTGAATCGCGCCATATTTGTCATGTGTCTTTATGCTGTATAATTTCATCCGCTGAAATAATTCATAGCTGAGCTCTGCGTGTCAGGCGGGGAGAATAGAGGGAGCTAAATGAGCAGATATTCTAGTCGAACAGAAAGGTGAGTGTCATTCCAGGTTAATTAAATCCTAGCTTTCAGTCTGGGACGGACACAGACCTCTGTCAGGATGATAACAACAAGAAATCCGTTTTGTCATTGGCACAATCACATCGGTCAGTTTCTGCCGTTTTCGAGCTTGTTTAAATCACGCATTTGTTCATAAACATCACCTTCCTTGCAGCACATGACATTACTGACAGCTGACTCACCATGGCAGTTATGCAGATGAGGTTGCTATTGTTCAGATTGCCACATTTAAGCTAGTTCTGTGAAGGTAGTACGCACCTTGGCTTTAGGGAAAAGATTTGCCACCATTTTTTATCTGAATTATTTCTTATCTCACATGGATCTGCTCACTCTCTCCTGGATGGTGTGCCGTTTTTCCACGCAGGCTCTGCTTTCTGTGCCTCACAGACTGTAGCCTCAGTGAACGGCTCTGCTAATGCCGCAGCGTTCGTCTGGAAGGCGCCTCCTTCCATAATCACGATGTTCCACATCCCCGTTCATCTGTATTTAGCAATCGAAGCCTCTCAGAGCTCTGTTTTTAGTGGCAGTCTCAATAGGAGATTAACAAAGCGTCGGCGTCGGATCTCCCTCCCAGAGCTGTAGGATAAGTTGCCAGTCTCCCGCTGATTTTCACTCTCAGCATCCCCTCATGGTGCCTCATTAAGATGCAGACAAACAAGCGCCCCCGACCCAACGCTACAGTAAGGCCAGGCTTAGTATGGCGCCGCTTCGCCACATTTCTCAGTGTGCCGTGGCCTTCAGCGGCACATTGCTTCTGGCTCCACGCATGTTCTCTCAGAATGTACTGTCCTTGTATCCCCCCCATCCAACAGTTTTATTTATTTTTTATTTCCAGAGGAGGAAGTGTGTGCGTGGATGGGTGTTTTTTTCATTGAAAGCATAAGAGGAGAGGATGGTGGGATTAGCGGATAACATGTGAAGGTCAGCTCTGTGCTGAGTATGGCTTAAGTGAGGCCAAAGATTTTGATTTCATTCTGAATAATGCATTGACAGTGTCTCTGTTTTCAGTCCTCTGATATTTCAGATCCTCTCTAATCTTGATATTAGATCCGTGACCAAGATCCTTTGCTCTTGGTGCTGCTTGTTTATTATAAGTTTAACAATCTCGCTGTTTATAAAAAAAAAAAAAACTGTCTTTTTGAATACTGATGTACAGTGTCTTTCAAAAGTGTTCATACCCCTTGAACTTTTTTAGATTTTGTCAAGGTACAACCGCAAACTGCAGTGTATTTTTTTGGGGATTTTATATGAGAGACCAATACGACGGGGTGCATGGTTGTGAAGTGGAAGGAAATTTTTTTTGTATTTAGTTTCATAACGGAAAATCAGGAAGTGTGGCAAGCAATTCTACTCATCCGGCCAGAGTCAACACTTTAAAGACTCACCTTTTGCTGCAATTGCAGCTGCAAAACTTTTAGGATCCGTCTCTTCCAACTTTGCACATCCTATGTAAAGACCGAAGTCTTGGTTTTAAGTCATTGTTTTCCGACATGCCGTTTTATATACAGACTATGAAAGCCTGAATTGTATGTTCACCTGACCACAAGCTTTGTGGCAGACTGCGGAGAGGACTTCTTATGACTCCCAACTACAGCTTTCATCTTCCCACCCATACATAAACAGATTTGTGGCGTGGACGACTAATCGTCCTGTTAAGATTATCGAGGCAAGTGGTTGCTCTAGATTTAATTTAAGATTATTGGAGTATCGAGATCTGAACTCGAATGATCCCTACAGACCAAAAATGTCCTTTTACTTCACAAATGTGAGCTACCATGTCGTCTGGCATAAAATCACAATAAAATATGTTGAGTTTTGTGGTTGTAATCTGACAAAATGCGATAAAAGGGAAAGCAGTCTGAAGAGTTTTGTAACACACTGCAGTTTTTCCTTACATTTATCGTGCTGCCAAACACTAGCCTTTTCTGAGTGATTTCTTTCCACCCTAAACAGTTTAATATATGATTTATTTTTTAACATGCACATCTCTATGCTTCCTTCTTTCCGTTCATATTTGCAGAAATGCTTGACCCAATCTGTACCTATGACTTTTCTGCTGCGCGAATAAGCTAAGCCTGGTCATAAACGTGTTCTGCAGTCTGCACCTTTGTTTTCTTGCCATGCTGTCCATGCACTTATCTTTGTGTACGCATGTATGTATGCAAAAGACAAAAACAAAACTGTGAAATTCTCAACCTCACTATGGCACTGTTTGTTTCTTTTTCTTCTTCTACAGAGATGTTGAAGGAGTTGAACCAACAGCGCAGAACAAAAGAGTTTACAGACCTGAAAATTATTGTTGAAGGCAAAGAGTTTGAAGTCCACCAAAATGTTCTAGCTTCCTGCAGCTTGTATTTCAAGGACCTGGTGAAAAGGTTTGCCTTCGCTCCCCTCCCTCCTTCCTTCCCCCCTCTTCTGCTCTCCCACCAGCTCTTGATCCAGCCTGTTCTTTTCATAGGGCGCATTTGTGTTGCTTTTTTTCCCTTCCCCTCTCTCTCTTGCAGGTGTGTGAAGACTTTGGTTCCTAGCACAGGGCCAGCAGCCATTCCTTCCTCCACCCACTCAAATGAATGTATCCCAAACTGGAGAAAAAGGTCAACATTCGTCATTACCTTTTCCTCCCCATGTAGGGCGATTTTAACCACATTTCCATTTTAATGAGCAGTAAAAATGTTCCATGACTGGGGATGTTTTTTTCTTTCTCTTTTTTTTTTTTTTTTGAAACTCACCGAAGGGCCATAACAAAAGAATCATACATTGCACACATTAGGTGATAATTTGCCAAAGCCACACTGTCCTCTGCAGGCAGAGGATTTTTTTTATATATATATATATTTTATTTCCTGTCACCAGAGCTTCAGTATTTTGTTTGTTGCTAATTCTCTGAGTTTTCCTTTGATTACCAGCCTTTTCATATGCTAATACATCTGGGTTAGTGAGTTTAAGAAAGGAATTTGAGAAACATTAACAAAGAACAAAACAGAAACACGGCTTTCACAGGTTCTCCCCACCTTTCGCCGGCGTATTGAAATGAGTTAAATTCAAGTATTCCCCAAGTATTCTGTCCTTTGTGCTCCATATCCTTTTGTCTTCACTGGTTGTTTTGTGAATACAAGTACCTGCGTGTCAGTCCCATGCATGACTGTGTGTCTTTATTTTTGTACTCTCCATGTTTTCCAGCAAGGTAACTCCATATATCCCTAATGTCGTCATCTTTACTTCAGATCCCTGCAGGTGCTTTCGGCTTGATTGGACCCAAACTTGCTGTGGCACTTTTATGTTTATGTAGTGTGATATATTTTTTTATTATTTGTTTTGCTAGGAAGGAAGTGCTTAGCGAGGACAAAGGAAAACCAAAAGGTGTACGCTCTAGCGATAGCGGCATTGCCGTAGGGGAGTCTCCCACTTTGCCTCGTAGTCACAGTGTCACGACGTTGAGCTCATCAGAGGACACAGTGCTGCTTATCAGCTGCGGCGGCCTCCTGGCTTGCCACAGATACACTTGTTCCTCCTGAACAAGGATGGAGGGGGAGCGGAGTGAAGGGTGGAGGGCTCGAGAGCCAGAACCGAGGTGGAGAAAGCTGAAGAGGCACGTCCTTATGAGGACCGCTCATCTCAATGACAGCTGCTAAAGCCATGAATAAAACACAGATGGCCAGTTTTGCTTTGACCTTGACTCGAGCACACCTGTTTCCTTACGAAGTGATTTTTGATAAAATAGACGCCCACCCTTTACCCCCACCCTTCTTGTGAGCCTGTCCATCACGTTGTCTCCGCTGCAACTCTTATCTGGGAAGAAGCCAGATCGTTTATGTGCAAAGACAGAGCCTCAGCACAGCAGAAGCTCCCAAAGGAGCAGGGTTGAATTGTATCGTGCTCATCTTCATGCCTGCTGCGTCTTTCATTGTCTGGTTCCCCTTGTTTCATCAAACTCTTCAGGAGAGAAAATTGTCATCAGTTAGTTAAATGTTAGTAAAACTACTCTGATTTGGAACTTCATCATTTGACTTCTCACTGCTAAATCTTGAATTAATGCCACAAAGATTTCAGGACGTCTTAGATTTTACAGAATAAGTTTTCTCATTTGGAGCATTTGTGAAGACCCGCTTGTGAGAATTATTTTGTCCAAAAACTTCTCTTTTTTTAATGATGGTTTAAACCATAAATTTACTTTCAATGTAAAACGGACAAAAGCACTTGAAATTGACATTTTAAATGATTGTAGTGATCAGAGTGGATTACTAAAAACACAGACTCCCTTTTCGTCTTCTAGATCACGTAGAACCTCATTTCACTGTTGAAATTCCCAAAAAGTTGCAAACATATCCAAACTGAGCATGTTCCAGGAGAGAGAGCTCTCATTTCAGCCTTCCTGTTCCTCACTTGCTCTCTCTCAGTCTCTCGCAGCGCAAGTGAATTGCAGATTCTTCAACAGGTTGTTGAAATATTATGTAATTTTACATTGATTCTTTTAGCTTGGTAAAAGTTTGGATTGCTCAGTAACTGGTCGGGACTAGCAGAGTTATGCTAACATTTAGCTGAGGCTAACATAAAAGTGGGAAGGCGGCACAGACTTTATACAGAGAAATAATCTTATTTTGGCCATGACTGACCAGAGGCTCATCTGCCTCTGAGTTACGACCTCCCATGTGCCGCCCGGGTCACTTTTTGAGCCTGGCTTGAAATATGTTTATGCTCCACGTGGCTCACTACTGTCCACATCTTTATGAGGTCAAATACCAGAAATAGGAAGAGAGGTGCTTTCGTCTTCTAATATACTCTGTACTTCACCCTCCTCAGCCAGCTTGCTCAGAAGGCATTTACTGCCGGTCAGAACCCCTGTCAGCTCATAAAACACCCGGCGTTATGAGAGTATACGCTATCTGCTTAGGACTGGATGTGCGCGTTCACGGTAAACAACAGGTGTACTCAGTTGTCTTTATGTGTGGATGTGTTCACAAAAAAAATGTACTAATGCAAAATTTGGGTGGGCAGGATTAGTCAGAGCAGAAGAGGTGTTATTTTACAAAATGAGGAAAAACACATCTACTTTTATTTTTGTGGCCTGCCCACACAGACAGCAATCCAGTGGCTTAGAAGAGATGTCAAAGCCCAGGCAAAATTGTTTATGGGCTTTTTGTGATTTAAAATGACAATTTGAAACAACAAATTAGCATTTGGGGAGGTTCCCTTAAGTTTGCACTCGATGTCATATGCTGCACCTGCAGGACGTAATGCCGTTCCCAAACGTACAGACACTCGTGCCCTCACCCCTTCCTAAAAACCTATTACCTTACCGTCAAAAGGGCCAACACACAGAGCGCAGAGACAGATCGTCGCTGGTAATTCCATTTTTACCCCTTGGGATTTTCCAATAAGTGTGCTTGCAGGCGTTTAATTTATGGCGACTGCATTGTCACACCACAGTAATGTGAAAGGCTCTGAGATCTTTGAGTAGTCCCGACACGTGCTTTTTCTGCCATTTGCCCCGCCCCCCCCCTACCATTTTTCCGTCTGTGTCGGCCCATGAGTTTTTGTACGCCTGTGAGTCAGACAGCGTTATCACTGTGAGATGTGCAGGAGGCTGTTTTAATGCCCATTACAGTGTCAGCCCCGTGTGAATACTACTATCCTATGCGCTTTGTTCACCCCTCTGCTGCACATTTCAGCCTCATAACGGTGCCACCGCAACTCTGTTTTGTTGCATTGTTGTGGCTAATATTTAAAGGGTCCAGTTTCCCAAATTACCAAACCTAATTATGCATTAACAGCACACAGTACAGTGAATTTATTTGTGTGGTCATTAGTTTATTACTTCATTCTAACAAGTCGATTATATTAAGTTCAGGGAGAGGGATAGATATACTGCATATCAATCAATCAAACTTTATTTATGTAGCACTCTAACGACATACTGACGACTGGGCCAAGTACTTTACAGATTAAAAACGACGCACACAACCCCCATAGCACCCAAACCAACTCTCTGAAAATCATAAATGCCACACAGAAATATGGTCATGGCCACATACAGACTGGAAACCCAACGATCACGCAAGCTTCAGATGTTTCTACATAAATTGAGAAGCATTGCCAAAAACTCTCACATGGGGTCAAAGGAGCAGGAGAAAACACTGAAAAATTAAAACATTAAACACGAGGCACAGACAGTGAAAAGTAAAACCTTAATGATAAAGAATGTAGCTGTTCTACTAGAAATGGAGTTTACTACATAAAATACTGTCTGAATAGGAAAAATAAAGGAAATCCTTACAAAACGACGGCCTTATGTCAACAGGTTTATCTGCGAATGCTGGTTCCAATAAGACATTAAAAGACAGATGGTGTTCAACAACTAAGTTGGAAATTATTTATATGGATTTTATCTGAAAAAGCAGCTGCATCCACAGCTTTTAGCAGCTTGTTGGTTTCTGCAACAAGCTGCTAAAAGCTTGTTGCTTTACGCAACTTGTTTAAACCATGTAGATTGTATTTTATTAACAAATTGAGCAGAGCAGAGGAAACAACTTTGTTATTCTGATGCTAATCCTATACAGAAGCAATTACAAAGTAGGTTTTAATGCCAGCCAGTTTACAAGTACCAGAACTTGAGTTTGTGCTTGGGGAAACGCAAAGACCCGACGCCAAGCAAGCACTAGCATCCAATACGTTTTTTTTTAATGTTTGATTTTAATGCCATTTATTAAGTTGCAGATTCAGTTTAAAACCGCACACCTTGAATACAGACAGACGTTTACTTATAAAATTGTGAACATGCACCATCTGGTATTCCGCTGTGCAAAAAGTCGGACTCTGCAAAATTAGTCAGTAGGAATAAAATAAATGAGTAAAACCATCTGTTTCATTTATTTGACGCAGTATCTTTGTAACCCAGTGCCTGTCCTTAGATGAGCTTATGCTTTCCATAAGCAAAACATATACTTGGTAAGACCCAATTATACGAAATAAACATTCCGGTTTCTGAACCAAAATTTCAGAAATTAATTTAAAATTTAATTTCAGAAATTAATTTGCCCACCTGGAGCCAAATGATGACACTAATGACTTTTAAGCATTAAACTCACCTTCTGTCACATCACATATACTCCAGGTTTTCCACAGAGTAAAGTAGTGGAACAAAGCCTTAGAGATGACACACAGTAAACACTTTTTCTATTTCAACTTTGATCAATAAAAATCATGTTAAAAATAGAGTATTGGAGGCCCCATAAAATTGTACTAGTGCTTTAATGTTACATGTGGTTCAACAATCTCTTGCAGAGGTTTTGTGTCAGCATTTTCCGAAAGTTTTGTTCGAAAGTAGCACCAATCATGGGCAGACTATTGAGCTAGAATAATTTCTTTATCTTTTACCCAC